ACTTTGAATCAACTTTAAGTTAAAATAACTCTGTTATTTACAGTATACACTAATAATAATAGTGTCTTCTTGTGAAGACTTTTATGAAAGTCAAACACAGGTTTAACTCTCAGGAAGAATACGACATTCACAGAGAAGTGCTTAATAACTCAAGGGCAAAAGCAACTGCAAAAATACTGTGAATAGACACTACCTGTACAATGCAGAAATGACAAAAACACCAAAACACACGTAAATAAATCCAAACTGTTGTTTACAGCACTTCTGAGTCTGGCTGAAAGGCTCAGATCAGCAAGGTCGAGGGGGGGGGAAGGGGGAAACCTTTCTACCCACAAATTCAAGGATCATTTGCACTCCCATTCAAGCTCTTGTTGCAGCCCCCTCCCTCCCTCCCCTTATCAACCATTTGGGCTGAAAAGAAATACGTTCGCATAGGGAGGGACCGTCCTACACTCGTTGGTGTGTGTGGTTGTGCGTTTGCATTTATTTGAATGGCTGTGTGCCGGAGTGTGAGCAGATTGGACAATGGGAGGATTGTATGTGATCTATATTCATGTGGCACAGATTCAGTGGCCATGTGCGCACACGGCAGGCTGGGAATGATCAGATGGAGGAAGAGGGGTTCATAAAAAAACATCCAGAGGGAAGAACAAATTAAAATAATATATGGAAAAGAAGTTCTATTAAAAAAATTGAGTTTTAGATAACCAAAGGCATCTGTTTAGTCCTTTTAAGCTAATGTTGTTTTACTAACCATAAATTGGAACAAATTGAGACCAAACGAGATAAATGTCAGGGCTTTAGTGCATTATACTGTGTGTAATAGTGTTTCCTGTTTGCACTACACTCTGTATTCTCCTGAGAATACCTCATGAAAAGCTACATTTCTGTTCAAGGGTGTACAAGCTTCTCCCGGAGAGGTGACTGATAGTTTAATTGGATGCATAAATATTCCCCAGATTAGTCAAAGCGGCAACACACTGATACTCACACTGAGCAGTGTACAAAGTCAGGAAGAGATAGAAAGAGAGCGCGAGGAACTGAAAAATAAAATTGAACTGCTTTGTAAAAGTGCACGGTTTGCCTGTTCATTCTAATAAGGCATGTTTAACTTTCAGCTATATCCAGAGTCCCGCAGAGTGAAGAAGAAAGAGGGTGTAGGGAGAGAAGAGAACGAGTGATGATGAGAAATGAAGGGAGAGGCAGCCAGAACTCCTTGGTAACCAATGCACAGAGGAACAGAGGGGCCGGTCCTACACCCCTCCCGGTGTGTGTGTGTGTGTGTGTGTGTGTGTGTGTGTGTGTGTGTGTGTGTGTGTGTGTGTGTGTGTGTGTGTGTGTTGTGTGTGTGTGTGTGTGTGTGTGTTGTGTGTCTGTGTGTGTGTGTGTGTGTGTGTGTGTGTGTGGTGTGTGTGTGTTGTGTGTGTGTGTGTGTGTGTGTGTGTGTGTGTGTGTGTGTGTGTCTCCGAGGACTGCCTGAGGGGGGAGTGTTGGACTCAGTGTGTGTTTAGAGAGAGAGAGATAGGTTAGAGAATCATAGTAGACGCTCGCGCACACTCCTAGCCGGGCTGTGTGTAGTAACAATGTGAGCGGAAACCAGAAGTACTTCATCCCCTATTCCTCTCTTTTTACCTGGACTTGGATATTTTGTGTCTGTCAAGGACAGTTTAAAGAAAATAGAAGGACACATACATTTAACCGGAATAATGGTGTTTATCGGGACCTCGTTAAAATCTGTGATTAAATACTTCAAAAGGAAGGGTAAGATGTGTTTTATTCTATTCTCTATTGATTATCAATGCGTCTGAGAAGTATTTTCTGCTTATTCTGATCAAGAAAATGAGTTCAAATGAACAGGAGTGGATCTCAATTTTGTTTTTGTATCAATTTTACAGGAATATTGTGTCTGTAATTACTCCATTGGTCCCTGCTAATTTGAATGGCCATTTTGAATCACGTTATTGAAGCTTTGCTGTATGTAATGTGTACATGCAACATCTTAAATGATTTATATATACTTTAAATAAAAACGAATGCTTCACTGCTGACTCTGCTGAGCCCAGGGACGACCCTCTGTTGCACCCTGTTACCAGGTAACCACTGGGACAACACTTCACAGAGCCGACAACTATTAGCCGTAAATGACCCGACAGCATTTGTAAAGGTAGCAGCTGGAAGCCTTTTGGACAACAGCCACTCGATTAGATATAGTTGGGCCATTTTCTTTCTTTCTGGAGCAATTTAGACGTTTTTTAATGTTTACTTGGTTCTAAACTCTCCCGATAATCTGATCTTGACATTCGAAGAAACAATTGTAGGTCTGTTTGCCAAGCATGTGCAGTGGATTCTTATTAGCAGGATTAGTTCATGCTCCAAGGCTGTATAGTGTAGTTATTCCTACAATGGCTGTGTATTAAGCAAATGAGGGTTTAACAACAGGGCGAGCTGACTGTGCAGACTCTAATCTCAGGTGTATTCATAACATGTGTTACAGTCAAGGCTGAGGTGATATTGTTAATGATTAGCTCAGCGTTTTCCTACCTCACGCGTCTTATCTTGCACATAGACACCTTGGTCCTCCACTGCAGTCCAGAGACCCCCGTATTTTTTAGACTGCACAAACTTTGAAGATATAAAAGAAGTAAACAAAGTAAACTGCATTGATTCTATGATATTAATAATCATGTGAGGCATAAAGATACCCTTGACATTTGACAATTTTCAATATGACAGGTAGAACTAAAATGCTTTTTTATCACTTTATCAAGAGGGTCTGTTAAGAGAAATATCCCCTATAATCCCTGTGTTTGCAACCCTTTCTTTAACTAGTATGTTATATCTCAAAAATCTAATTGAACAAATGATATGATTATCCTTACAGAACATAGAACGTTTTATTATGCATGAAAGTCAATACTATATTTGCTGGTGCATGATTGGGGAACCAGTTCAGTATTAACGTAGGTTATTGATTGTAACAGCTAATAATGAGAGTGTGTGTCTACAAGCATTCAAATGCATTTTCCAGTTGTCCTGTGCAGCCTCTGATGTCGCCTGTTTGTGTCCATCAGAGTTTTCCCCTGTTTGCTCTGAGTTTTAGTGGATGTAGGGATGTAGATGGCCAGAAGGATTAGAAGACTCCTCAAAGACTTTGCGCCAGAGTCCAGTGTGTGTGTGTGTGTGTGTGTGTGTGTGTGTGTGTGTGTGTGTGTGTGTGTGTGTGTGTGTGTATGTGTGTGTAGGAGCTAGCATATTGTGGCACTGAAAGGCCTGATGTGGAGACCGATGCAGAGGGACAATACAGGCTTTGTGTCCATAGTCCCCATGTCCTTGGTCTGCCTAGCCCTGCTGAGGTCTATTCAAACCCCACGATCTGAAAGGGGCTGGGGGAGGGCTACCTGTGCCCAGTGTGTGTGGGGGAGAGCAAGAATATTAGAAATGGGTTTCATAAGAAATGGATTAAGTAGACCCTTATTAAACCAGACAAGCTGATTTAAGGATGTAATCTTATTTACTCACAGCTGAAGTGACACTGCCTTGCATATTGGTCTCTGCATTTGACCCATCCTAGTGTTAGGAGCAGTGTGCTGCCATTATGTACGGCGCAGTGTAGGGAACGGGGCCTTGCTCAGGGACACCTCGGTAGCACTTGGTCTTTCCGGGACTTGAACTGGTGACCTTCCAGTTGCCAAGCCAAGTCCCTATGGACTTCCCCACCACCGCCCCCTTGAAATGTGTTCAATGTCCAACGTATGTTCCCATTAGTCACACAGTGCTAGTCACAAATAGCTAAAGTTTGATAGTCACAGATCTTCTCACAGTCTTTTCAGACATCATGAAAGCAGTTGCACAGTCTCACACTTTCTCCAACAACCAATTTGCAGCCATAGGCATACCGCCCTTTAGGCCTCCTGTCCTCCCCCGACACGCACACACACTATGCATCCTACTATGGCTCATTAGCACCTGTGAAAGGCATTCAACCAAAAACAGTCCACACTCCCGGCCCCTTTCATGACCCGTCCCCTTCCTCCTAGGTCCTCCAAACCCTCAGTCACAGTCGGTTGGACATGTTGTGATGGTCAGGACAGGGACAAACATAGCAGTCTTAAATGGAGCTAGTCCTACACCCACGCTCACCAACTTTGGCTTGGATACGCTCACTTGGTAAGCTTAACTTTTGGGAAGTGTGTTTGTTGATCTTGGTGTTTACTCTCAGTTGTTTTGCTGACACTTGTATTTTGTGGCTTACATATTCAGCATGGTTATAGGCTTCAGTTACTGGGTCATCAGCATTACACACCGTCAGCCGTAGCAAAATAGAAAGCAGCTAAATATTGTTTAAGGATGTTTAACTGAAAGAAGTGCTCAAGGAAAACCATCAAGAAACAGAGGAGTGTGTTCCCTATTTAGTAAAGACAGAGATGGTTTGATGTTTAAGACAGTAGTGTTTGTTAAGCTTTTAAATACTTCTGTGATCGAGTGATTTCATTGAATGAGTATTCGTTATTGTCTTTCTGAAGCGATTTCTCTCAGGACTAGTTAGCTAGTTTCAAAGTTAGCTTTTGTACCTTGTTGTTTATTTTTCTGAGCTGGATATCATGTGGTTAGTTTTTCCCTCCAACTTATTCATCCCTCCTCCCCCTCTGACTTGTGTGGCCTTGTGTGTGATGTCTCAGATGTGTGTCATTTTGTTGGTGTGAAGACTTGCACCTCGATGCAAAGCACCTTAATCTACTTCCCCTTCCTCTTCTCCGACAAATATAAACAAATCCCTCTAGTTGCCACTACTGCCTGTGCAGGACACTATTCATTCTCAGACTCTGTTACCAAAGGATTTAGACTTTGTTAACCCTATTTTTGTCATATGTCAACTGTTGCTGGTCTGCAACAACTGGTCATGGGAAGATGTTTTCAGAATACCCTCCAGGAGTGTTAATACAATTGGAAGTTGAACTAAATCAACTAAATTCTCTGGCCTTATCTCTGTGTTTCTGCAGCTGTGTCCAACCTGGATGAGGAGAGCAAGTGGACGGTGCATTACACAGCTCCGTGGCACCAGCAGGAGAACGTCTTCCTGCCTGGCAGCCGCCCCCCCGCCGTAGAAGACCTCCACCGCCAGGCCAAAGTCAACCTGAAGAGCGCCCTGCGAGGTAAGGATTACTATAATTGGACTGCTTCAGAGAGTTTGTAATGATCCAACATGATCACAACAACAAACAATGGTGGTGGGTTATCTGATATTCAGGTATATACAATGGGTCCAGTGCTGCTGTTTGGCAATGAGTATAATATTACAGCCTCTAGAATGAATACAAAACATGGAAAAAAGAAGAAAGCAATTTGACATATACTCAATATACAATCATGTAAAAGGTGGAACTTTGTTTCAGCTCTAATTTAAATGTTTTTGAGGAATTTTTGTTCAAATGTAAATATGAATAGCTTCCCCAATCAATCCTTTATTTCCCTATCAACTAAATCTACAAATATACACACTGAAAAATCTAAATTGTGGGAATATTGCCGGACCTCCTCATATTTGGAACTGAACATCAAGGCATCAGAGAAAAGATCAGCTGTGTTTGTCTGCAACATTGTTAAAATGTCCAAACCTGTCACCTGTGTTCACCCCAGAGTTTAGCCAACAACACAACGGTGCGAGATCCTCTCCTTCCTGTTTGTCCAGTCCAATCAGAGAAAAACAGACACAGCCTTGTTGTCAGACAAACACAGGGAGAGTGACAACTTTTTAATATCCACATTCCCGGAACAGGATAGTGGGAATCCCAGTTAATGCTGGCACCTGTTTACCCAACAGTTCCTGGGAACCAGAGCTGGGAAAGTTGTCCGGTCATTTCTAAGATAACGGATGACAGGCAGGTGTGAGAAAAGGCTTGGAAGAGTGTGTGTGGGTGGATGTTTTTACAGTCAAGGCTTGTTGTTTACATAGGGTGGCCTTGTTTAGTGCCAGATAAAAACCAGGCTGATACAGGCGGAGCCAGAGATAAATAGGGAGAAGCCGGTTGTAACATGATGCCTACAGTGTGTAAAGCTTTAGTCATCGCCGTAAACAAACATACACACACCCAACGTTTTTTTTCTTTGTCCTTTGCATTGTTTGACACCTGTGCTATTGCATATTTCTTCCTGCAATATTGATGTTGCTAGATACTCAAACACCACCTGGTAGGTAGGATTTATTCAGCCCCCCCATCTCATTCTGTCACTGGCCTTTCCTCCTGTCATCCCCTCCCAGCCCCAGGGGTCCTCACTGAAAGACAACAGGTGTCCAATGGGAGCACCTGTGCTGAATGTGTCTTTGTGTTTAAGCGCTTCATTTTATGGTCCACTCCCATGGAGCTGAGAGTGGAGGTTACACATCTACCTACAGCCCATCCTTAGAAATATATTAATTTAGTGTTTACTCAGTGGTTTTTGCATTATTTCCAAATACAACAATATAAATACTTTTGCATCCTACTTTAATTACTACATTTCATTAAATTTCCATAATAATAACAGTATTTTTCACAAGATATTTTATTATTTATTGCTTAATCTATCAGGAGCGCATTCCCAAATAGTCCTTAAACCCAGTGCTTGCATGAGCATAGCAGGATACACATATCTACTTTCTACACTGCAAAGGCAAATAATCAAACAATCAGATGGCATGTGCTTCCCCTTTTTGTTTCACTCTCACATGTGTGTGTTCAGCCGTGAGGCTTTTGCAAGCTGCTGGTGAGATACAGAAAATATCTCAACACGTCGACATAGAGCAGAGGTGTTACATAACACTCGCCTGTGTGTGTCAATAACATCAAAAACAATAAAGTCAATGATGTCATTCAGTGTTAACCAGGGCACCAACTTGTTGTTAGGATTTATTTTTGCAAGAATAAATGTGAATTAATAAATATGTCTTTCTAGCTGTGAGGTCATACAGAAACTCTAAGATATAATGTTTTAAAATATTGTTATATTCTTTCAATTCTCACTATCCATTAGTCTTTCTGCTCTTTGTCTCGTGTCCCCTCCCTTCACTTCTTCCTAGCGACAAGCAGCTCATCAAGTCCTATTTATCTAATCAATCATCACAACTGCTCCGCTCCCCGTCATCATCCTCATCACGCTTCTTAAAACCCTTCTTCCACACCGCTACCACATCAGCTTGTTACACTTGCTACCTTTGCAACCCCATTAGGATCCATTTACTGACAGCATTATACATGCACCAGCGTGTGTCTCCACAGAGATGGGCTGTAATTAGCTATGGAGATAGATGGCACATGAAAGGGATCTAAAGCAGCATCTCTGAGGTGCCAGGCGAGGAGCGATGTGGGTGTGCTTTGGTTCACATACGTGTCACTCAGCGAAAGGGATTTTGATTGTGCATCACACACTGAATAAATCCCAATGAAGCAAGATAAAAGACCAGCGAGGTTTACATTTGTATGGATTAGGGATAATATGCAGTGAAAGACATGTATGCATGTCAGTTGATATGCTTTCAATTTAGAACAGGGCCAATTTAGTTTATTTTTTATTCGAAGCTTTTCAAAAACAAATGTGTGAGGTTCATAATAAAACAGTACATCAGCAAATGGAAACACAACCCCCAACTGTGTGTTTTAGTCATAACAGTACAACGTGAATATAATTAGCTAATTCAAGACTAGACAAAGGATATACTAGTAGATATTTGCAGTGACACAAAGAGATGATGTGCTAAATGCACCCTTAGAGGAAGAGGGGGATGGAGGAGAGAGAGGGACAGTTCTGCCATCTGTGTGTGACACACTGAAACTGATACCCCCGCCTATTACACACACACAATCATATATAAAGTATTTTCTTATCACACGGTGGCATACACACACACACACACACCCAGACATACATCACCAGCCCGTCACAGCAGGTGGTGACGAGAGGGAGTGTGAGCAGCGCTTGGCAGCGTCCAACAGGGACAGATACACTGATGAACACACACACACACGCACACACACACACACACACACACACACACACACACACACACACACAGTTATAGCAATACGTCTTTCTGTGTCCTATGGATATTTCACACATCCCTTCTACTTTAGTGTTATTGAATTACTTATTTATGAATATTGTACGCTCAAATTGGCCTGTACAAATTACACATTACATTTTTGGCACATCAATATATCTTGGAGCAGCAAAGAATGATGAGTGTGAACTGTAGAAACTCTTCAGTATCACACTCAACACAAGCTCTGTTCAAAAGTATTGTGATCATTTCCCCTGACAAATTATTCGCAAATATATACCCTTGATCTTAATGAGTGTCTGGTTGCAAACGTTAAAAGCTCAGAGAAAGACAACGATCAGGGCAATCCAAGTATTTGTGGTCTATATTAACATATTCCTTTGTTGTTGTTTGTCCTGCAGAATGCGACAAGTTGAGGAAAGATGGATTCAGGAGCTCTCAGTACTACTCTCAGGGTCCCACCTTCTCTGACCCCTTACAGTCCAACAGCAGCCTGCAGGATGAAGAGGAGGATGATAAGAAGGTACACAAACACAACTTTGCAGATGTTACAGTCAATACATTTAGATGTTATTGAAGTACATGTGTTCACAGCAGTGCTTTGCAACTGATTCAGCAGAAACTCATCTCCAGTACTTTAAGCAGTGTCAGACTGCCCTCTAGTGGTCAGATATTATAATGCACATTTTTCGTAATTTACAATAAATACTTCTCTGACTGGCAGACAGTACTTTACAATTTATTTTTTACACAAATAATTCCATATTTTAATTTCTGGATTTCTACCCTGTTAGTCTAGCTATTTAAAATAGTCTAGCAAACAAGATGTTGTGAGTTAGTTAGTAATGATTTTACTTAGAAGAAGCACTAAGGCTTTTTTGTTGGGGCTGTCAGCATGCATTATGAAAAAGTATAGTTAAATTATAACTTTAACTTAATTGCCTCTCATTCTCTGGCCTGTCATCATTTTCAGGCAGAGCTGATTGTACTGTATAGACAGAATAAACTGTTGCTGGCGTCAGTCTTTTTTAAAATTATTATTCTCTTTCCTTTATCATTTGTAGAAAATAAGAAGAGTGATTGAAATAGGAAAATAACAAGGTAAACAGACAAAAGTGGATTTATTGCTTTTTTTTTAGTGGCGAACCATTAGTGTGTACTGACATTCTCCTCATTTGTATTTCTCTCACACAATGTGATATGAGGGGTCCTGAGAGGATCACAGGGGGTTTCACTGTTATGATCAGGGTCTCCTTTGTTCCCCAGAGCCCCTCGTTGTTAGCCGCTCTCTTCATGCTTGCCCCCTGACCTTCATAATATGCTGTCGTCTTTCTAAACTGTCCACTTCCGTCTCTCGTTATCTGTCTTTCTACTTTCCGCTGTTTGTCCCTCTTCCATTCACTTCCTGTTGTCCTGGGGAAAGTGAGCCTAACTTTGCCTGACAGCAGCTTCAGAGGGAGAAACAGGACCGCAGGTTGAGCCACAAAGCAAAATAACAAGCTACCAAACTATTGCTGAGATCCTTTCTTTATACCCTCCCCCTTTTCTGCCTCCTCTTGTTCCACTCCCCTATTTATTTAGTCCATCCATCCATGCATGGTTTGTATGAAAGCACAAATAGCCGACCTTTCTTTTTAATGCTTGGGACTGTCAGGATGAACTGTAATGGACATAGGGATTTATTTCTGGATGTATTTGGAGATTCTGAGCATTTCTTTTACCAGTAACTTTCAAACTCTGACGAACAAAATCACACTAAAAGCTCAACCTGTTCCAGATACAGTCGGGAAAATGTTAGGTAGTGAAGTCTAAATAAGTTCGCTTTGCTTTTTGCGTCTACTGGCTTTTGAAATCTTAACCTGTCTTTACTCATGATTCAAAACAATGATTTCAAAACCTCAAATGGACACTGACAGCAAACTGTAAAAAGCTAGTTTACTGTTGACTAACTGCTCAATTTCAAGCGTGAATGGCGCAGTAAACTGTAGTTGTCTGTTTGCTTCTCGGCAGTAAATTCTGCTTCAGATGGAGGACTGTTAGTGTGTGAGACACAGTTTAATGCATGAGTGATTCCCTCTCTTTTTCCGCACGGTTGCTCTGCTTTTATCTTGCCATCTTTAAAACGCTCTGTCAGATTAACTCTGAAAGATGTGTCTGTGTACGAAAGTGTGTTAATGTGTGTGTGTTTCCATGTGGGTTTGATTGTTTGTGAAACATGTTTACAGCACACAAGCATCTAAAGTCCCTTACACACCAAGCCGATTTCGTCCGTCGATAGATGTCGGGCCGTCGATGAGCGTCGTGTTGCCCTACTCAGATTGGTGTGTTGTGTCTTTTCGGCCGTGCCGACACCTTCCGCCGCCGATTCATCAGGAGGCTGTCGGCTAAAGGCCGTCGGCCAAAGAAATCACTCTGATTGGCTGTTCAGCTTAGCGAATCAGTGCATGAGAAGCGAAACGGAAGTGAGGGACCCAAACAAACTATTAAGAAGGCAAATCTGAGTTTTTATTTAACTCCAGCTCTCGACACAGGTTCGGGAAAGTGTTGAAGTGTGTTCATACTAGGGCTGCACGATATATCGTGTTGTGCCGATAATCGCGATATGCGCATGCGTGATATTCACATCGCGCGGACGTGCGGTGTTTTTTTTTTGGACTTGCGATATTAAGTAGCCTAGGTAAATTAACTCAAACACGTCATGGTACAATTATTTTGCTGCTGGAGAACTTGCGCGGCTCTCATGTCAGGGGTACTTGAGTGTGTGACATGCGGGCTCTGCATGCACAACAAACCACCTATCACAATCAAATCTCCAAAGCGGTGATTAAAGGTAAAACACTGAATAAAGTAGTTTCATGTGTTTCTCCAGGGCAGTTCGGCGCTGCTAACCGTGCTAGCTCAGCTTGTTGCTCTGATAACTTAAGATCCAGACGTCCGTGACTAAAATCCTTCATCCGGTTAAATATAGTTAAAAAAATACCAATTGTATAGCATTAAAGTTCAAGAAAGCATGGTTTGCGGGAAAAAAACGGTCTTTTCTTCAATTCCTGTATGTTTTCATATCGCGATATATATGTCGCAGGGGGGGGGGGGAAATCACAATGTCAGTTTTTTGCAATATCGTGCAGCCCTAGTTCATATGTGTCAATATAGTCTGTACAGTCACATACCGCTCTACTCCATTCTATAATATTGTATTCCCACTCTAATTGTGTTCGGTTTTTAATTTAAAATCACAAAATATTTGTTTTCCAATGTCTTTCATCTCTTTTCCTGTGCATCTCCTGTCACTTTCATTACCGTATTTCCTTTTTTCCATACTCTTCTGTACATTTCCTCTCTTCCTGTTTCTATCTCTCTTTTCAATCTCTTTCTCCATCTCCTTGCTCCTCTTCAAGTTATACATCTTGTTAACCCATTCTTTTTCTGTCTTTAGTCCACAGCATCATCAGCGGAGGACGACAAATCTCAGCTGTCCATGAGGCCCCAGACCCCCCAGGAAGGCGTTGAGGGAGAGGAGGGGTACGAGGTTGACGGAAAGATTGTATGGAACAAGGGCGCACCCCTCCCCACCCCGGAGCAGAAGATGAGGCTGGCGGCTCAGGCCGTAGCCACAGACATCGTTGCTATCAACGTCACAGGTATGACCTCTTCGCAAACCTGTCACATAACCATTATTTTCCCATCTCTCAATCAGTAGCGAGTAGCGACCACTCTCATCAGTGTTTGTAGTGGAAGACAAATCTCCTGATCCTCTAGTTTCATACAAAAAAGCAACGTAGACAGATTTAACTACTAGATCTGGTCTCAATCATCCCCTGGTATCTATTCAGTAACATTAACCCTGCACCTCCCATCATACATTGTGTTGTTTGTCATCAAGGAACTTTCTGACTTTTTAAAACATTTTAAATCACTGAGACTTTGATGAAAAGATCAACATTATTTTAGTCTTTTTTTTTTAATGAGATTACAAGGTCAAAGCCTAGAATACAGTTGCAACTTATATACAGCAGCTGAGGTAGATGGGAAATGTCAGTAGTTTTTATGTCAGAGTATTGGACAAATACAAATGATGACCTGGTGGCGCTATACTATAAACCAGCTATCATGTTTATTGAAATACAGTTTTTAATCATTTCAAAACTGCCATATTAACATATTAAATCTTCAGATTCTACTGGTCTTCTCATCTAAATCTCAGGAAGGCAGCAAAATGGAATGAGCCAAACAGGCAAAATGTCAGACTGTTCCTTTAATTAACCCTCTGTGGATGAGTGGATTATAGACTGATCAATTACTGTATCCATGCATCCACAGAGGAAAAACCTGTGTCAGTCATGTCATGGTGTCTGCCTCTCCTCCTGCACCTCTGTGTATATTCTCTCCTTCCATCATGCTCCATGCAGGCTGACCTTCACCTTCCTTTATGCGCGTGTGAGCGAGTGTTTGTGTGCCAAAAATGGTTTGACAGCTCCTCTAAGGGTCAAGGCTTTTCACTGACTTGATGTCAGATCACAGGGCGTTTGACAGATGAACACAGCGAAACGTGTCGATGCAATACCCCTGTTTGCATGTCACCATTTTCTGCGCTATCGACCACACACACAAATAAATAACATCTCATTCTGCCAGTTCTGGTCATTAAGAATACACTGTGGCATGTCTGATGCTTCACAAAGACTTTTTGTAGGACATATAAACAGATGAGCATCACCTCAAACGCAGTTCAGTATCAACCTCTACATTTAAAGTGTTGTCAAAGGGAATACAGCTGCAATCCTGTCGTCCTTCAGACACTAATGACAGCTTAATGTGGTCCCACTCCACATAAAGCACTCACAACGTCACTTTACATTACTCAGAAAGAGAGAGGAAACACATACTGACACACAGAGAGAGATCAGGGATTTTTCTGTCACTTTTTTTCCAGATTTTTCTGAGGAGGAATGTGATAGACACTATCTGCCCCTCATATCAATTTCTATTTCCCTAACGCCTGCTGGCTGTCACCAGCTAGCCAAATTGCAGAAGGAAGAGCAGCTCCTTGTAAAATGTTACTCTTCCTTCAGGGAGGATGGGTTGAAAGTGAGGAGGATGAATGTGTGTGCGTGCATGCTCCTACTCATATCTGTTCTGTGCATGTGTATTTTTGTGATAAGGGCATGTATTTTACATCTCACATTTCTCACATATATGTTAACACCTCAGTTGGGAATGATCAGAAACCTTCAGATTAAACGTGTACGTTTTATTTTTGAAGCCAGTGTTTCCACTAATGGCCATTATATTTGGCTGGTGGAAGAAGAGTTAAAGGTAGGGTAGGTAAGAATGGAGAAACCAGCTCGAGTGCGCTAGAATTTGAAAATACACAGCCGGAAAAAATCTGCCACTTCCTCACAGAGCCCCTCCTCCAACACACACAGGAACGCGCACATGACCAATGAGGGCTAGAGATAAGTTTGTGCACAGATGGAAGGCTGACAGGCAGGTAGGCCATCCAGTTATTTTAGCCGGGCCGGCTCAGATGATTGGTCGTGCTTTTTACAGTACTACGGCTTCCACAGATGATATTTTTTTATGGATTTTTTGTCAAAGCACTTCAGATATTCATTGCTATCGGGATGTTAAGAGCATTCCATGGAATATAACAAAAAGTGTATCTCGAGCCGGTTTCTCAAACTTACCTACCCCACCTTTAAGGGGTCAGCTCACCTCAGCTGTATTTTTTGCTTTATAATACAATACAGAATTTTTTATGTGGTATTTGCCCAGAATTGGTTAGCCTATTAGAATGGAATTTGATTTACCAGCCTTTCAAAATCCTGTATTGGTTGGGCAATAGTTGAAACTACATATTAGTCCTTACAAAACTCAAACTTGGGCAAAGAAAGACAAAACGATATGCCTAGCTAGATACCACTGAAGGGAACTGTTTTGTTTTGTTTTGTTACATTTCGTTAAACTGACAATTAAGGTCTCTCTACCTGCTGCATGTTAAAACTTAAAAACACAAAAACGTTCTGCATGTTGTTGAGTTTGTTCCTTTCAACTAACCGACTGCTCTTTGCCTGTGTGTCCGCCTGCGTTGTTCTCGCCCTCCCGGCTACCAGGGGCCGTGTTTGACCGGCAGGCCACCGTCCGGCGCTCCCTCATTAACTCGGACACCGTGTCCCGCCGGCCCAAGAAGGTCAAACGCAGAAAGACTATATCAGGGCTGCCTGACAACTTCAACCATGAGCTAGGTATGGATCACTGTGAGGAAATATGTTGCCCTGTACTGTCCACAGACCTGTACCAACACTCTGGACAAGCATCCCTCCTTCTTTCACTACTTACTATAACCTTACTCACTATGCATTTTTGCCTAATCCATTAACTTTAAACATTAAGTGGAGAATTAACTCACCCCACCAGTATTTTCTGAGAAGGGGAGAGAGAAAATGTCACATGCAAGTCCAAAGTGTTGGATCGGGGCCCTGCAGATGTTCAGCTGTTTCAGTTCTTCATACAGAGTGTCCTCATTTGCTCTCCTCCACTCTTTTGAACTGTACCCACAGCCAGGGACCCATTATGACATTCTTTTCAATTGTATTATTTCCCCCCTTTTTTGTCCTTACATGTGCACTTTTTTAATCTCATTTTAGACGTTTTTCTCATGTCAGATAATAAAGGTTAAGTGCAGTACCATTGTTATATACATATTGTGCTATAATCGTTCAGCTTAACTATCGGCTGTGCTACTTCTGTGAATTGTGTCTCAATCTCTCTTCCTTAATCCTAGGGCTATATATTGATAATCTGGCATGTGTCCCATGTGTTTTTATACTTACCAACATGTACTGATTATGAGACCCTGATCAAGGAAAACCGTCCCCCCCAACCCTCGTCATTTTTCAGAACATATAACCCTCAAGCGCTCCAAACAGATGAGGGTTAAATAACAAATATGAAGCTCCAGTAGACTCCTTTCCTTAGTCACACAGCTGAGAGGGGTGTTAAGCGTGCGCTAAGCTTACTAAGCTGACACTGCTGTTCTGGCTGATGTTTATTTACACATCTCTGATCTGTAGGACAGCAGACATATGTAAGGAGAATGTCATTTCTCTTTGCGATAACATCACCAAGGCTGATAGTAAAGGAGCTTTAGAGTCTGGTTAGTGACCAGCTGACGACAGCCTCTGAATGTCATGATTACTGGGCCGGGGTAATTGTCCCAGTGCTTCATCCCTCCCTCTCCTTGTACAAGAGCTGCCTGCGAAAGTAGACCTGCAGCTTAATCTATCGCAGCAGCAGCAGCAGCAGCCAAGCTGTCACTCCAGCTTTTAGCAAAGGAGGAAGAGAGTGTATGTGTGGTTCAGAGAGAGAGAGAGAGAGAGAGAGAGAGAAAAGAGGACGCAAGAGTGTGTATGTTTTGGAATACGAGCATCAACAGGAGAGGCACCACAGATGGGAGACACAATAGACATCATATCCCATTTTACAACTCATTCTTCAAATTGTTTGTTTACAAGCCGGTATGTTCGGTGTGTGTGTCTTTGTGATATCTGCATTTCTGTGTGTCTCAATGTCTATCTGCAAATGCTGTATGCTCTGTCCTGTGTCAGTGCATGACCATGACAACACTGTGTATGTCCGTGTCCATGTATGCATTAGTTGGCTGCCTCGCAACTCAACAGCTGCCTGCCCTGGACCCCAGGGTATAATTCGCTTTTCTGTCGGACTGAGCCAGACTAGGAGAGGAAGCTTAGTGAGGAGTCTTTCTGTCTCCCCTCATATCCTTTCCTCCTTAACGAAGAAGACCAGGAGTTATTAACGCATGTGACGGTTACAGCAAATCAAATTTAATTATCCTCCATGTGACCACAGTTTAGCTGTCCAGGCAGAAGAGCAGAAGCATTGTGGCTGAAGTTTTAAGAGGGGAGATATGCTTAGTGGTGCTCGAAGAGAAAACAAGGTATTCTGATCAATAACATGTTTTATTTTCCTCCTCCCTTTGACAACAGCAAAAGGAGATCTCCGACCGCATTCCATGTTCATCCCGGGACAGTACTCCACCTTGGGCAGAGTTGGGAGCGTCAATTCGATGCTCCGACATTCGGTCACCAGAGACTCCGGCTGCCAGACAGAAGACGTGAAGGTTGTGCCCCCGTCCATGAGGAGGATCCGGGCTCAGAGAGGACAGGGGATCGCGGCTCAAATGGCCGGCATTTCTGCTTCCTCCTCAACAGGAAGTATATCCGTCTCGAGCAGTGACAGCTCGGGGATCATGATGCTGCCGCAGTACAACAGAGATCTTTCCCGTTTTCACAGTCTGCCTCGACCGGGGGCCAGAGTGTCTCTCAGTGCTGACCCCATCTATAGCAGCACCCCCATCAAGTCAGAGGAGCAAACTACGCCTCAGAGGCAGATTGGGAGGCTGCAGGTTGACGACACAGTGGTGCACATGAGAAATGCCCCAAGGACAGGCACCCTTCCCCGGCCCAAGTCTCAGGAGCTGAGGGGGGCGAAAGCCAGTGATTGGGGGGGTGGCCCAGCATGTGTGGTCTCCCCACATGCTGCCTATTCCACCTCCCTCCTCCCCAACGCCACCCTGTCCAGCTCCTCTGAGGTCATTATGCTCAACACCTCTGGTCCCTCCCCTTCCTTATCTTACCCCACAGCTCATCCGCTCAGTCTGGCTTCCTCCACCAACACAGACCCCATGAGCCCCAGCCCAACCTCTTTTACCCACAGTTCCACCTGCCCAGCCTTGGCCACCTCGACCCCCACTCACCCACTAAGGGATGGCGGTCTGGTGGTCGCAGCACCGGCCAGCGAGTTGGGGCACTCTGACAGCAGTATACACAGCCGCAGCACCTTGGCGCCCACGCCGCCCTCCGGACTGCCAGAGGAACAGTGGATCTACGACACGCCAGAAAACATGGTGCTTCCACACCGCACCTTGACCTCCAGCTGCTCCACTCCCATAAACCAGCTGTACGGCAGCCTGGACCACTCCTCCAGGACTACTACTGACTCCAGCTCCCTCTATTCCCAAGACAATGACGGATACTACACCTCCATGCACATGGACTCAGGCCTGCGCTCTCGCAGCCATGGCAGTGGGCACGGAGCGGCGCCTGCACGGGCCACCAGGCACAGCATGTACGAGTGCCGGGAGATGGCCAACCAGGAAGACACTGGAAGCTTGTACAGTGATCGCTCGCTGTCACGGAGCATCTCACTCCGCAAGTCCAAGAAGCCTCCGCTGCCTCCAGCACGCACAGACTCTCTCAGACGTAAGACCTCTGTGAAAAAGCCCCTCGGAGGCGTAAGCGCCATCAGCGGTGCTAAGGAGCCAAACGGAGCCATGCTCAATGAGACTCTAATTGCCAGCTTGCAGCAGAGCCTGCAGATGGGGCTGAGAGGAGGGAATGGGGATAGGGGCTTCGCCTTCCTCGCCCTCTCACAGCCCATGCAGCGACTACGATGACCCTTGGGTGCTCCGGCCACGCAGTCAGAGTAGCACCAGTGCATGTAGCTCTGCAGCGTCACTTTTAGCTAATGCCAACTGTGGCGGCGTGTCTAGCGTGTATTCGCTCTGCCATGTGACGCCTGCTCAAAGCGACACCAGCAGCTTGCGCTCAGACTATGCTGATTCCTGGGGCTACTACATGGACTACCCGCGTAACCAAGGAGACCAGAGGGCACACTCCCCTCAGGCTCATGGCACAAACAACATGTTGGCCGAGGCTCACCCCGGAGAGTTACACAATGGAGGTGAGATCCTGAACGGCAGCCAGGCGCCTGGAGCTCCAGGGCAGGAGGGAGGCGTGGCAGCGAAGCCCAAGATGTCCACCTCCTCCCCGGACCGGGTGCACAGACTGACCTCGCCGTCCAGCGGCTACTCCAGCCAGTCCAACACCCCCACAGCTGGGACCCCCGTCCCCTCGTTCATCAGGTCCATGTCTCCCTCGGGGACCCGGCCCAGGCCCAGGGTGCCCGAGAGGAAGTCCTCTCTCCTCTCCTCTGTGTCCATGTCCTCCTCTTCCACCTCCCTCTCTTCCAACACCTCCGACTCAATTAAAAGCTTCGGACCTCCTCCCCTACCACCTCCACCCTTGCCACTCCTCTCCTCCTCAGCTCCCACCACCCCTCTGAGCCCACCTCCATCCTTTCCTGCCCCTCTACCGCCAAGCTCCATCGCAGGCCCTCCTCCTCCTCCAGCTCCCCCGTTACCAACCACTCCCCAGGGTCAAACACAGAGCCCACCCCCTGCTTGCTCCACCTCCCCTGATTTCCCTCCTCCTCCATCCCCTGATACACTATTCCCCTCCAGTTCATCCTTCAATGGGAGCTTCAGTCCTCCACCTCCCCCGCCTATCCCCTCTACAGGGCCCCCTCCACCTCCTCCATTGTCTGCTTTTGTCCCACCTTTCTCCTCCCCAGCCTTTCCTAAAGCAGCTCTCTCCACCAGCCCTACGAAGTCACCTAATCCCCTGATCACCCCGTTTGCGCTGCAGAGCGTTCAGCTCCGCTCTGTCAGGCGGCCAGAGAAGGAGATGAACGGCACGTCAGACCACACCAAAGCTCAGGGAACAGGGCTGGACCTCCTTCAGGGTCTCAAGCCCCTGCAGAAGTCTCACTCCCTGGAGAATCCCACTATGCTGTCAAACGGCTCCCTAGAAGAAGATTCTCGTAACTCCTCACCATCCCCTGTCTCAAAGCTCTTAGAAGACTTCCCTTTTGACTTCAGTATCACAGAAGACACGACAGATAGTGCTGTCATAAATGGACAAGCTGAGGATCAGAGTTACTTTGTCTTACACAGAAGAGAAAAAGCAGAAGAACAGAATGTATTGCCAAGCCCCCCACAGAGCTCTGAAAGCTCCCCTGTCAAACAGAAGCCCCCAGTCGTCTCCAAGAAACCCCAAAATGTCTTTACTCCACCAATTTAGCCCCCAACCAATCATTGAACAGATTCCATCTCAGCATGAGGGTACAACCAGCCCGTTACAGACAGAAGACCAAGTGGATGCGCTGCAAAGACAAATGAAAGAAGATAACAAAAGTGAGCAACAGGAGGAAGAGGAAACTTCCGAGACCTCCGAGGTTCAAGCTAAGAGCCGTGAAACATCTCCCATAATAACCCAGGAGGAGCACACACCTGCTGCTGCCGGCCAATCAAGTCCTGACCATGCAGTGTATACCAATGGAGAGGCTCACGAAGAGGAAGAGGAAGAGGAGGAGGGAGATGGAACAAGTAGCACGACAGGATCCGTCAGCTCCAAGGAGGACGACACAGGTGAGTTTTACAGAAACCATTTTGCTCTCTAATGTTTTATTATTTAAAAAAAAAAAACCCACTCATTTGAAATGGAGTCAATGAATTGTTGGTTTAGCTCATTTCCATAATCCTATATGGTTAGTAGTGATGCCACTGCCTGCTTGCTGTGCGGCCAACTCTTCAGGCAGCTGTGAAACGAGTGTTGCCCTCCGAAGCAAACCGTCCAAACTTCAAACCTCAAGCTTTTAAAAACTGTGAAAATCGCTCAGGAGCCGCGGCTTATCACTGGGACAGCCTCCTCTCTGACTCTCCCTGCTACATTTCATATGCAGAGATCTCTTGTGGTTACTGTCCCTTCCTTTTCCCTGCATTGCCCCCCCCCCCAACACACACACCCCATCCTCCACTGTCTACTCCACTTCCCTCCACCGTTAATCCTTCTTTCCAAATATCAATTTGTTTGCCTTTTCCTCGCCTTTACTCTTAATCTCAGTCTCCCACTCTCTTTCTGTCCTGCTCACTATCCATCCCCTCTTCTTTCTGAGGTAAGGGAAGGGGGGGGGGACTTCAAGTGTCCAGAAGAGGATGCTTTTCATGGTGGTAGGCAGAGGGGGAGGAGCTCCAATCGTAACAGAGGGGAGGGGAACGGATCTAGTGAGGGGAGGGGAACGGATCTAGTGAGGGGAGGAGGGAGGGGGGGGGGAGCGTAAAGTGAGACTGCCTGCAGCGGCTCAGGCAGTCGGAGCGCAGACGGGGGAGGAGGAGGAGGAGGTGAGAGGAAGAGGGAGGGAACCTGCAGACAGAAAGAGAATGTAAGAAGACAGTCCAGCAGCTCCTCCATGCATCTCACAGACAGCCGGGTTAATGCGACGGGACGGTGTTGAGGAAAGTGTGTGAGTTCACTCTCTTGTTAGTGTGTGTAACTTGGATGTTTCTCTCTCAGGTGAGGTGTTCTTCTCCAGCACGGCTGAATCGTCTCCGATCCCGTCAGCCAACGGGGCCTCTGAGGAGAAAATGGTGACCCCGACTCCCACCCGGCCCCGGACCACAGAGGACCTTTTTGCCGCCATTCACAGGTACAATGGTGCTTCATATTTTGTGTCTCTTCTTTACACACTCCAACTTCTTCCCTCTGGACCTGCTTCAACTCCTAGTTGTTTTCCCCCCTCTAGTATGTTGTCATTGTGTTTCCTTCCCCCTCTTTCTCATAAACCACAGTATATCACCTTGGCTCCTTCTCCCCCTTTGACCCATGATATGTCTTCTTCCATCTCCATCCCCCCCCCCTCCTCTTCCTCTGCCCTCCACCTCTCAGTCATAACTTTACTCAGCGCTGTCCCGTCTGGAAGCATCCATACCTGTCACACAGCCGCTCTCTGGGGTCTTCAAGCCCTGAGTGGCTTTTCCTGTTTCTGGTCATGGAAACGATGCGAGAAGCCACACAAGTCGGTGCCAGTCATATTTGTATCACGTCTGCGTTAGCGAAGTCACATTTGCGTTGCTCGTTCTCAGCAAGAGAGAAAAGGCGGGTGCTTTATCCATTATTTATCTACTCGACACCCTCGGGTCCTAATCTAGGTTAGAGGCCACCGGAGAGATTTGTCTTTCTCCCTCTCTCTTTTCTTTCCGTCTTCTACACGCTGCTCACTGACATATATATATTGCATACGTGTTTCAAAGGGAGCTCACGCATACATTTCTGATGCAGCCTGCCAGTTTGTGTTTCACGCTCACGTGCAGCGGCAGTCGGGGGTTCTCTTGAGCATCACAGGATTTCATTTCACAGGGTTTTATTTCAGCGACAGATTGCCGATGTATTTATGGTGCACACGTCACGCGTACAAGTGTGATTTATTGTGCACTTTAATTGGATGGCAGTATTGTGTAAGCATGTGTGGGTAAACCTAACAGTGGGACTTTGTTTGTTTAGCACTTATGTTACTGCCTCTCTAGTGTGGAGCATCATTTGACAGATTGTTTATATGCAGGGAAGTGATGACTGGAGAAGAATTAAATGTAAACTTAGCTATTTACATTATATCTTTCATTCAATTATAATCCATTTGTGACATTTCAATTTAATAATGAATAGAATATACGTCAGAATGATCAGCTTCAATTTGATATACTTTATGTTTTATAACATTTATCTCAGTAGATGTTTCTTTTTCACTTGAGACACGTTTCCTCTCCCCCTCTTACCTGTCCAATACTTTCTTTTGCCCTCTCATTTCACCTCCATGTTGCCCCCTCGCTCTGGGAAAACCCTGAATGAAATGCCTTTACAGCTGCAGCCATAAAATACAACCTTTCTGGGGGGAAATCCTTCAAAGCAAATGTAATACAGCCGGGAGAAGGAAATCGATGGAGCTCTCGGAGACGGGTCTTAAATTGCAGCCTTGTTTACTTGTCTATAACGGGGATTGGTATAACCTCCTCTCCTGTGTGGCCTTATATGTGTCTTCACTAACCATGAGTTCAGTATGGAGCTGTGGTGTGACTGAGTTCAGGTGTGTTGGCGTGTGTGTGTGAGACGGTCTTATGTAATGCTGATGGGCTAATATGAGCTCACAGGGGACGGCGCTAGACGGAGGTTGAATTTAGGGGGCTTACTTTGCAGTGTTTCTAAACGACAAAGCAGTCTTGGATTTTCTCACAAACCATTCATACCCTCTCGTTTGACCTTCACAAGTATATTCTCTACATGTTTGTTGTCCTTCATGTAATCATTTCTTTCTGAGGATTAAAGATTTTGTTCTCCCACTGCTCCTTTGACTTTTAGCATCAAATGGCTCTCACAGAATCTGTATTCATGCATTTATCTCTGTCTCCCCTCTCCTCTCCTCTCTCCCTCCCTGTGCAGAGGGGGCATGCAGAGGGTGGGTTCCTCCTTTCTAGAGAGGTGCGAAGTGGCAAGTAGCCCCTTCCCTATCATTAACAAACCACCGCAGTGGCGCTACCTCTGGATTAGCAACAGAGACCCCACAGTGCAGCCCCCCTGGACCTCAGATTATTAACGCTGTTTCCCTGCTAGCCCTAACCCCCCCCCCCCCCTGTATTCTGCCAGTTGCCGCTTTATGGCTATGCTTTTTGCGCAGGAGTTCCAGCCGGTGTAGGCTGAGGTGAGTGATGCAGTCAACCACTCTGATACCCCCTGTTAAGAGGAGGCGGGATTGTCACTGTGTGATTAAAACTGCTTTGGGCACCTTTCCCAGTTTGTGTTTTTGATTCATGAGCTTTTCTGCAGAGCTGCAGCGTCTGCAGCTTTTCTTCTAAAATCTCTTCAACCAAAATGTATAACTTTTTTTCTTATGACCTCTTTTTCTTTTTTGGAGCATCCACGCCACTCACTGCTTATTGTTTTACCTCTTTAAGGTGTGTGACGCATAATTGCTGTGGGCAGTGCTGACATATGGCAAATATGGGACAAAGATTGCGCCGCGTGTTTTAAGTTAAATCTTTTTTTTTGGAACATCTACACAGAAACAATGACCAAACTGGGCTAAGCAGGCTGCTTCCTGCTCAGTTGTTATATGAAATCCCATACGCTGCAGCCTCATTTGAATGTGAATAATTGGATCTGATGATTGCTTCCTGACAAACTCTTGCATTTCTTCTTGCTCTTTCATCAGTTCAACAATTAGTTTGCCCTTAAATGATTTAACTATCAATTCAATAACCATCCTTGCAGTCACTCGCTCACTAAGCCACATTTATAAAAACGTGTCAATAATTACATTTTCATCTTATCCTAGGTCGAAGCGGAAGGTCCTGGGACGCAAGGAGACGGAGGAGGACAAGTCCCGGGCTGGGAGCCAACCCCAGTCTCCACCGGCCACCCCAACTGGGGGCTCCCCAGTGATGGGGTCCCCGGGCATGGTGTCCCTTGGCATGGCGTCGCCGGGCATGGCGTCCCTTGGCATGGCGTCCCCGGGCCGTCCGCATGGCGTCCCCCCGGCCATCATGCCTGCCCCGGCCATGGCGTCCCCGGCCATGGCGTCCCCGGCCATGATGTCCCCGGGCTCGACGTCCTCCTTGCCCCCGCCAGACAGGCTCCATCCAGCGCAACCTCCGCAAGTCCTCCACAAGCAGCGACACCTTCAAGGCCCTCCTCCTGAAGAAGGGCAGCCGCCTCAGAGACCAGCTTCAGGATGTCGGCCACCGAGATGCTTCGCTCCACCGGCCCTCGCACCCAGCGAACATACTCCGAGTCAGCGTTGGACTCTCCTGCTGCTTCTCCCTCCTCACTGGGGTCCCCAAACAGCCCCTGCAGCTCCCCAGGCCGCGGGAAGAGGGCACAGATGAGTGGAGCCGCTACGACGCGTTCTCCCTGTCCTCGCCGACAGCATCGACCTATTCAATGAGCGGGTTCAAGTACGGGCGCTCCCGCACGCCCGCCTTCTTCCGCTAGCAGCAAGTACAACGCCCCGCAACCGAATGCTCAGCAGCCCAATGACAGTCATCTGTGAGCGGGAGGGGGAGCTGGCTGGAGAGCGAGTACGGAGACCCTGCAGAAAGTCTGTCCGGACCCTCGGCTCAGACCCTGGCTGTACTCAATAACTCCAATGGCACTTTATCTGGAGAGAGCAGAAGTTAACGAGCAAGGAGCGCCCCTTAGATACAGGGAGCTAACTCTATCATCATAACCAGGTAGCAGGCAGGAAGAGGAGCCAATAGTTGGCCCTCTGGAGAGAACTTCCTGTGCCACTCCCCCTCAAAGCCCCGAAGGGGTGGGTGTCAGGTGCTGATGTGAGGTCAGAGGTCACCCCGTCATGGACAGAGCTGAACTTTATCTGAAGTGGACTGGTTGTGCTGCAACTTTTCATGGATTCTCACTCTGTCCTTCGTTTCACATTTGTGTTGAAAGAAAAGTGTTTCTTTACACCTGGTGTTTTAAGTATGTTTTCCATTTGTTTGACTGTATCATGTCCCTAACACGCAGGACCTTTTACGTTTCTTTGAAGAACAAGGTTGGGGTGGTAAACTAAGATGAAGTGAAGGAATTGAAAAGTAACTTTGCTGCTGTGGTGCTACGTAGCTTGGCAATTGGAAAGAGTGGGATGTAGACGCTCGACTTGTGAACCTCCTCAGCTTCTGCTTCTCTTCTGTTGGCTCTGGAAAGTGTTTGAATGCACCCCCTTGTGCAAGTGTTGGCTTCAAACAGCTCATAACATTGTGGAAAGAACGAGAGGTAGTGGTACGACAGAGAGCACCACGGTACCTCTTAAAGGGGACCTATCATGCAAAATGCACCTTTGTACGTCTTTTATAGATGAATGTGTCCCCGGTGTGTCAGGGAACACAACCCTCTCTCTTTTCCTCCATACCCAACATCTCTAAAAACGGGGCTGCAACAGATTTGATACAGACTGATACAGATTTGAAAATAGTCTAACGTCAGTGACGAGGAGCTCCGCCTATATGGCCAACTCTCCACCAATCAGGGGAATGAGAGGTTGCCATGGCATGGTAACAGCATGGTAACATGACACTCGTAACTCGACCCCCTCCTTTGCAGGGGGGCGTGGTCAGCTGCAGCTCATGCAAAGACAGGGTGGAGGAGAGCAAAATAGAGCGAAACGAGGCATGGCTAAAATGCATGATCCGTTTGGTATTTTGAAAAAGAAAACGTATAAATATACCTTATATAGGTATGGCCCTACAATATATTATTCAAATATAGCATGATAGGTCTCCTTTAAGCTGTGGGTATGGCCAGGTTTTGCTTCTTGTTCTTAGGTCAGAGCTGGTGTGTTCAGTGGTCCGTAGAAAGTGCAGAGGGCTCAGAGCTTCACCTTGATGGCCAGGAAGTCAAAAACTGTGAAGTTTGAAAGACACCAAAACAGAAAACGTGTTCTAAAAACGCTCATAACATTTGAGTTCATATATTTTGCATTGTTCATAGGTCCTTTTCTTTGTTTGTGACTTTAAAAACATGTTTTAAAGATTGTTTTAATAAACAAGTGATGTCATGACTTGTGTTTGGGAGTTCAGTATGAATCTATACATGTAAAGAGGGGATGACATTAAAAGAGAAGCTTATGTTACCAAAGAGCTGAAAAATAATCTGGAAGTGAACACAATCTGAGTTTGGCTTCTCACCACGCGTTGCGGTCGAGTCGTCGCTAAGTTTGCTGCGACCTACTAGAAGCTTTTAAGGGCTCGAATGATTTCTATAATGTTAACATTTCTGCTCAGTTTATCTTTTTGCAGTTTTATATGATTCTGTATGTAAATACATAGAGGACTTTTAAGTAACATTTTGACTTGTTTTCAAAGACTGTACATTTTTTAGAGCCCAGCGTTTGCTGAAAGGGAGTGGTTTCCTATTTGTAGATTATTTATTATATACACATAGCAGGGCTGCAAAGGTGTTGCGATCTTAGTTCACCAGAGAGGTGATGGAGGTGCAGGGAGGGCCACATTTACTACGCTGATCCCTCCTGGCTGTTTCCTTCTTTTAAAAGTGCTTCATATAACAACAAAAATGCAATCATGTCAATATTTGTGCTACATCCTTCAACTGCCCTTAATCCTTAGCCATGCAAAGCCAGCACTGGTGCTCTCAGCTGAGTAAATGTGGTCTCTATGGAGTCATAAAGTGAGGAGACAGGCGTGAGACTTCCTAACCTCCTAACAGCCATAACACCCCGTGGGTAATTACCTGTGACCAAAGTGTGTCTCTGAGACCCCGCTCGGCCATGATTGAGCACTTGGGGCTCCGAGCTTTGTCTCAGGACAGGAAAGCGTCTCAATCGCAGGCAGCTTGTGAAAAGACACGACAGAAAAAGTACTTGGGGAAGAGCTGCTGAAGCTCATGTGTATGTCTGTGTAATAAAAACAAAGTGATATTTAAAGAGATGGTTTGTGTCATTTTTTTCTATAAGTCTGTGTGAGCCATCTGCCAAAACGCAAATCGCAGTCTCATTAGTGCCATTGCCATGACACCCACACTCGTCCGTCACGCCCCAGAGGGCCCACTCCCCCCACCCAAAGGTTATCAGTTATGTCTCCTTCTGGACATCCTATTAGGACACACACTCATTCACAGGCTCGACCCATAATAGACCTATCCAGTGACTGCAGAGTGACTGTCTGACTCTGACTGCCCACAACTCACACCCAGACCAGTAATATGTGGTGGATCCCTTCCCAAGGGCACAGAAACGATGACCGCCCGTCAGTATTTATAATGAAGTCCCTCCACCTCCAATTCAGCAGTGTCATCTGCTCTCTGACGCTGTGTCCATCTTGCCGTCAGACCGAAATCAATGCAAATTCCTCCCCACCCAAATATATATATATATATATGAGGGTCCCCCATTATGAAAAATGTCACTTTTTTGATGAGGTTCCCCCGTTGAGTCAGGAAATATTTGTTTAGATAAGGGTCCCCTAAGAACTTACTTTTAAGATAAGGATATCCTCCATTATATAACGTTAACTTTTTTGATGAGGGCCCACCCTTATATAAACATTACATCTTTTAGATAAGGGGCCTACGATAAAAAAAAAATGTTTTAGATATAATTCAAGTAACAATATATACACACACATGCTGACAAACCAAAATGTCCATTTCAATCCCACCCAACAATCTGTACACCAGTCCAGAAAGTACAGTTTTTTTATAACGGTACCCCTTAAGTCCGGAACTCTTTTTAAATATAAGGGTCCCCCCCTCATAAAACATTCTTTTTCATAAGGGTCCCCCTTAGATAAAACATATTCTTTTTGATAACGGTTTCCCCTCATATCCAGAACTAACTTTTAAGATAAGGGTTCCCCCCTTTAACAATATCATATTTAAAAAAAAAAAAAAGAAGCTTGATCACAAGGCTTGGAATAACATCATCAAAATGATTTACCAGTCTTTCCTCCAATATATCTGACAATTATTTTACATATATGCTGACTGAAGTCCTCCACCAGGCAGGAAAACAAAATACACATTTGTTTAAATGTTAGCACCATTATACATTTGCTATCTGTAGCATAGTTTCACCTCACTGAGCAGGGACGGGGAGATTGATTTGACCGGCGAATAACAGATATATAGTGTGTGTTCAGAGGATAAAAAAAGATGTCAGATCTGCAGAGTGTCTGAACATGATATTGGGAACATTTCTGCCACAAATAAAGAGAATGACTCAGCAGACATGAACCAACAAGAGAGCCAGAGGAGAAGGTGAGAGGACGAAGCTTACAGTGTGGAGTATATCACCCTGCTGGTGAAAGGTCTCAATGATCAGTGTGTGGAGGACGGCCTGCACTGTATCCCAGATCAAATACACCACCACACTCCAGTGAAGATGTAGGTACAAAATATCAGAAAAGTCAATCATTTAATGCAGAGGTATATTTATTAATAATGAGATCATACATTTTTACATTCTTAAACATCATATTTGCAGGATTCAAAACACACAACTTCTAGTATATAATAAGCTCTTCATAAAATTATTGAGGTAATGCACATGTTTTCTTGATTTTGCAAGCATGACTGGTCTAGATTTAAACCAACTCCCTCGCTCATCACAACGAGCGTGATAAGGTGACAGAAAGTGAAGTCTGAGATCAGATTTCCAAGTCACCTTCACAGCAGGTACACTGACTGATAAAGGGAAAACCTGCTGTCAGAGTGAAAGGAGATGCTCACAGCAACACAATACGAGCATGTGTACATTGAGATGGGTTCTGTAAAGATTCCTCTTGTCTACACTGGATGCCAAGAGATTTCTTTCTGGGGTGATTTCAATGCAAGTGACGGCCGATTTATTTTAATAAAAAAATGTGTATGTTTTAAACAAATATCTCTCTTGGCGTTGAACTAAGGGTGTAGCCTTTTCTGAGCTGCAGTAAGACAAAAAGAAACCCTTTAGATTGGAGGATAGGAGCCTAATTACACTATCTCTGACTGTTAAAGCATCATATTGGTTATGGCTCAACTTCGATTGCATTTGTTCGCAGTCGCGCATCATTTAGCATTCTCTTGGCAACTCTAACAGACAAGAGGAACCATTACATTGCAATTATTGCTTTCAAACATGTGAACCTACCCTTTATTTCATCAGTCTTTTCATATTACTATTTAGGTAAACAAATTGAATTCTCACATAACAAATCAATTTGTAATAAAATAATGAAGAGGCACTTGTGGTTTTGTCATGACAAGACGCACCAAATGAGGAATGTTTTCTGACTAGTTGGCGCCACCTACTGGTAATATTGAACTATTGCATGCAGTTTTTCCCCGGGGGTTTTGTTAGTTTTTTTCTTTTAAATGCTATTGTAATAATTTGTTAGGACTCTTTGTCAAGACCATCAGTAAGTGTACAATTCAGTAACTTTTAGTCAAAGGTAATAAAGCACAACACACAAATTAATATAATATACAAAAAGTATTTAGTCAGTGTGACCTTCCATTTTGTTCCACATACACAATAGGTATATTTTTTCCCTCATGTATTTTTTGTTCTTCCATGATGTGGTTATGTAAAGCTTGTAGTGGTCAGAGCTTAGTGTAAACATTAAACATATTATTCCTGCTCCTTCTTCAGGATCCACACCTCGTTCCTGCGGTGGGTGAGTTTGAAGGGACTGTCATACCCGGCTACGTAGACGGGATGGTCGACGTATTGAACTGCGTCCCTCTTCAGGCTCTCAATAAGTTTCAGAAGCTCTTCATGCTTAATTTTCTCATTGGAGAAACCCCCATATGTCCTGAAACAATAACAAAATATCTAAACTTAAAGGTCACCTATTATGCAAAATTGATGTGTAAAGAGATTCTGAAAGTTTCAGGAAATAAGATTCTCTCTCTTTTTGTCCTGAACCATTTATATAAAAATCTCTCTGAAAATGAGCTGATCAAATTTTGGCCACTTTATGATGTCATAACGATTTTTTTGTCTTGTGTAACCATTAGCCAATCACCAACCAAGGTAACGCCCCCCACCTTATCACCTGAATCTCCTCCTAGAGCACCATTGTGTTCACCAAATACCTCACGGAGGGGCGTGGCTCCTTATTTTCAACTAAAGTAACAGACAGAGTTTGGTATTTCGATCCAAACACTTCAGAGACATATTTTGTAAATGAAAACCTTTGTCTCCCCCCGCACCTTCAATGTCACTATTATTGACACCCTGGTACACACATGTAGCTGCTTTGCCTGATGCTGATTTGAATGACTGTCTGAACCACAGCAATATTGTTTTAGAGTATTTATATGTTTAACTGCTATGCCTGTCATCTTTGCTCTATGTGTTTGTGTTGTCTCCTGGGTTCTGTAGTGCCCGGAGTCTGTCTTTTTATTTATTTTTCCTCCCAAACCCCATCCCCTCAGGAAGCCTTTGCCTCCTGTCAGGTCATCATTGTAAATAAGAATTTGTTCTTAATTGATTTTCCTGGATAAATAAAGGTTCTACTACTACTTGTATATATCTGAGACCTATAATATATTGATGAAAAACAGTATAATAGGGGACCTTTAAGTCATGCACCTATGTTTCAAAATGTCCCCTGAAATGAGAAAAAACATGTATTATCAGTCGGTGCCTAAGCTGTACTCTACCTGACATAAGCTGTGAACTCTTTCCGGTGCTCCACAAACAAGTCGGGGTCGCTCGGCTGCGGGGGGGCGTCCTGATGCTCCTCTGGGATGTAGAAGGACACGGTGAACCGAGACTCACAAGCGGGGCCGGCTCCAGGGTCCACACGGCACGACACAGGAGCCGTCATCTCCCACTTTCACCTCTGACAAACAAGGCACAACCACAACACATTTTAGAAAAAGGGAATAAAAGACAAGCAGAACTCACATCTGCCTGCGAAAAAGACATAAAAGCACGTGAGAAATGTTCCGATTTGGTTGATGATTGGTTTGAAATGTATTCTATTCAGCGAAATGTGTAAACTATATGTAAGTTGCCAGCTGGAGGATCTACATTTCACTACATAAAGACACCTGAACAGATGGTGGAAACATAACAGTGTGGCAGATGTAGAGGATTAAACAGCATCAGCCTACACTGCAGTACTCAGTTCACACAACGTGTATTCTCATAAATAATGCTGCAGTAAACTGCCGAGTCAGAAAAGTCAGAGGTGCGGTTTGAAACTGCTGAGCAAGCACTAAAGTGAACTTTTTCCTCAGCTTTGTCTCCATGCCAAAGTCATCCACAACTTCCAAATTCTGCCACTTTAAACATTTACCTGACTGATTGTGTTTTATCAAGTTTTTCTTTGTAGGTTTAAGGATCTAACACACGTTTCTTTAAACAATAGCAAAGAAAAGGCACTTCCACACTTCCCTGAATAAGTATCGACAGAATAAATACATCCTTAGATCAGGCTGTACATGATTTATTTATTATACAACATTAGGACTGGATGAAACTCACTGTTTTGATTGTTGCCTTGAATGTATTTGAAGAGCTTGCGGAAGCCTGCGCTGAGGGCCGCGTCCCATTCCATACCACTCAGAGTGGTGCTCACCCAGTTTGTGGCAAGGTATGTGCGGATCTCGTAGTCTTGTCCCTGCAAACACACTCGTTATAAATTCATCTGTTGATTCATTTTTTCGATTACCAATAGATCAATAAAATACCAGTGTGAAATGATCCGTTTACAACATACTCTGAACTGATCAGGAGCCTTGCCTGTATTTCCATAGGGATTTTTTTTATCCATGTAACAAACTGAATGTGTATGTGTTACTTTAAACTAAGAGCCCACATATTTTAATATAAAAGTTTTCATAAGTCACATATTTTAGAAACATGATATACAAATAAAGTTTAAAAAGTTGATCTCTCATCAATACTATTACTGCTCTCCCCCTCCAGCATTACAGAACCTGAGATCTAGATCTGCAAATGTCATGTTTGTTTCACACTCTGTCCAAAAGTGACTTAATCTAAATTAAATGCAATAAATAAAAGCAGCAAGTTCTCACAGTGGAGAATCTGGAACCAGCAAATGGTATACACTTAAACTGGATAACATTGAGTTTCAAAACCAACTGATTTTCTGTTGATCAACTTGTCTTTAGCACTACAAATAACTTTGAAAAAAACCTATCATTCACGACAAAACGACATACTCAAATATTTCATTTATTATAAAATATTTAACCTGTAGCCTATTTGTAGTAGTTCATATGTATTTATCATCAACGTGTATTTTATAATCCACACTAGCCTTATCATTATTATTGCACTGTTTTCACTATAAATTAGTCTACTTTTTACACAACCTGCTATCCGAAACATAGAGATTGTGCATTCGCTGAAGGTTTGTCACTTTAAACTGTATTGTTCGACATTTCAGCACTACCTTTACTCACATATTCAAAGAGAACAATCCACATCAGGCAAACATTTTACTGTCATTTGACACAATGACAACTGGAAAACATTTACCTCTTTCTTCTCTCCTTCTGTGTATTTAGGGTTCTGCAGTCCGGTTGAGAACAGAGCCTGTCCCACAGCTTTCAGCATGACTGGAATGAAGGTTGTCCAAACTACTAAGAGTTAAATATCGGTGAACTCGTTTTCCAACACCTGCAAATTAATTGTTCATGGAAAGGCATTACAAAACCCCACAGTAACACCCAGTAACACCAATCAGGTCACGAGACGAGAACTCAAAACACACCTTAGCTTATAAAACTCTGCAAATACATAATTCACTCAATAATTCCGATACTGGGATGCAATTATTGACAGTACAAGATATTCTCACCTCGTCAGATGTTAAATTACTGAATAAATACAAATAGAAATACATAAATACCTGTAACGTCAAACTATTTGTAACGTCTCACTATTTGCAAGGGTGTGAATCCAGCGCGTTCGTTTTCAGAGCATCGCTTCCTGTTAAATAAACCTGCAATCTGATTGGCTGAGCGAGTGCAACTTCAAAATAAGAGTCCCTATTTTTGTGTCAACAACACCGTGTAAATAAAGAAAAGTTAAACTGAAGTCACCATTTACACTTGTTTGGGTGTTCTTCAATCATGCAACAACGCGGTGCAGGAATTGATAAAAAAGTATACGTTAAAAAATAAAAGAATACTACCGTCAGGTGTCTATGAAAGGGAGGGGGATACATTTGGCCGGCTGAAAATGCAGTTTTTTAAATTAATTTTTGTACCCCTAGAAGTTTTGCTAGGAAAAAATAAAACTCCATATTCATCAAGATGTTTGGGCATGTCCTCTGGTAGGTACAACTTAAAACACTTTAAAGTAGGGAAACGCATCATGAAGGGGTTACTGTACATCATTAGACGGCATGGCCAGAGCTTAGACAATTATTGCACATTTGCTTACTTTAAAAAACTGAAGTAAACTACAAACTGGGTCCAACATTATTATGTAATGTCGTGGACCTTTGTCAAAATGTAGTTATAATCTTTTTTGTTTTTGTGCTCACTGATTGTATTGCTGTGTCTCTGTGTTAAATATAATGAAGTTGGCAACAAAGGACTCAAAGCGGCTTTATCCAGGCACAGACGTATAAATGAAATGTAACCAGGCAGTTAAAAGTAATTTTTGGGAAGAGCATCTTCACCCATTTATTTACTACATAGTTATTTACATCATGGGGATTCATAGCTAACTTTACAAGAACAAAAATAAGTCATTTGCAGTATTTAAGAAGAACACAGTCCAGGCGATATGAGGCACAATAACAAAGAGGAGTCGGAGTAAAAGCCTAAAACCTAACAGGACCCCTTCCAACTGTTTAACAAACACACCCAAACAAACAGGGGATAGACCACATATGAACGGGAAATGCTACATCTATAACTCTTACGAACTTGAACAAAATGGTGAAAATAAGTCGGAAAATGATTGTTGTATTTGGGCTTAAGCTACAATTTTGCATGAGTGATTACAAGGGGCCTGTTGGTGTGAGATATAGTCTCCATGGAGATGAGAGGTTGAGCAGTTGTAGAACAAGGCAAGCGCGACAGATATGGATGCATAGTTTAACAGCAGTAACTCTATCAAGCATTTTTCAAAATAGCAGGTGCATCTCTAGCTAATGTGATGTATGCACCCACACCCACCCCCACACCCACACACACACACACACACACACAAACACACACACACAAACACATGCAATGTATGGACATAAGTGTAAAAAACTTGATCTACAGGGACATGCGATCTAATGGAGGGATCCTTGCAGCAGCTTTTTGTCTCCATTTTGTCCTATGAAGGGAGACCTATTCGTTACTATCCATAGAGCCAAGGGCAGTGGAAAAAGGCAAAAAGACAGAGTGGTTTGTCAAATGTTCGTTGCTTACACACGGTCCAAAAGTCACTGCTGGAAATAGCAGCAAACAGTTCCTCCCCTGAGCCCCAGAACTCCAGTTACAACCTGTTAATCATTTCCATACGCTGCGTAATATATAGTAACAAGCGGGCCCTAACAATGGTTATAAAACAACTTACTGATTGATATTGACTTGGACAACAAAAACAGGGATTTATAAAAACTAAAAGTTTATAATAGCTCTCATCAATGCATTGGTGGATTTATTGAATTGGTAGTATTTTATGAATCCCTCTTTAACTGTCGAAATGAAATCAATTAAGATTCTATATTCTCCACATGGTAGTGCGTTCTCCGTGGAGTTTGTAGCCAGTGAAGCTCCAGGGCTCTGTAAGCATTTCAGGGCTGGTGGTTCTGGTGGACGAAGGACAGAACATCATCTTTGGACAGTTTCTCGGGGTCCATCCGTGTCTGAGAGTCGTGGACTATGACCCCGTCCACCCAGGCCCAGAAGTACCGCTCAGCGTGGCAAACACTGAAGGTGAAGACAAAGGAAGGAAACTGTTAAATCAATAAAGATGTTGCTATCTCAATGTGGAGAAGACGCTACAAACCTGAAGGGAGCAGCAGCGTTGGCTGGCATTTCATAGGTGGAGTCCTTGGTGGTTTTGTTGAAGAAGAACTTCATTTTGGAGTTTTTGCTGTATGCCATCGTCCAGGGCTCTGATGGAAGGAGGCGAAGAGACACACATATTTTTGAACATTTCTGAATTGAAATGTGAAAGGTCTCCTATTATACTGTTTTCTTAAACATATTATAGGTCTCAGAAATATACAAACATGTCTCTGAAGTGTTTGGCTCCAAATACCAAACAGATCATTGCAGCATCCCATAATCCCCTCTGTTTCAGCCCTGTTTCTAAAGTGCTGATTCTCTGTCTGTTACTTTAGATGAAAATAAGGAGCCCCTCCCCACGCCCCTCTGAGAGAGATTTGGTTAACAATAACACAATGGTGCTCTAGGAGGAGATTCAAGTGATAAGGTGAGGGGGGGTGTTACCTTGGTTGCTGATTGGCTAATGGTTACACAAGCCAAAAAATCGTTATGACATCATAAAGTTTCCAAAATCTGATCAGCTCATTTTCAGAGAGGTTTTTATAGAAATGGATCAGGACAAAAAGAGAGAGAATCTTTTTTCCTGAAACTTTCAGAATGTCTTTACACAGAGGGGACACATGTTGATGTAGAAGAGACATGAACAAGTGGATTTTGAATAATAGGTGACCTTTAAGTGCCACTCATACCATTGACAGTCTTCACGACGTAAAGGCCGGTGGGAAGGAAGTGTCGGTCGTCTCTGCCCGTGTAGGACAGACGTGGGATTCCTCCTGAACTCTTCGTCACCTTCATCTCTAGTCTGTATGAAGAAAAGATAGTTAGAGGAATGTGAAACTTGGCCTGATGTTATAAAGCTTAAATTCTCCATTACCGACATCCTGCCATACCTGACAAAGATTTTCTCCATTTCCTCCAGCCTGTAGACCTCCTTCACTCTGTTTGAGAAAATACAGAAGTACCATTAAAGACATGTAAGATATAAAAGTACTCTCAAACTAATCAACTCATTAAAACCCGAGCACTGGACCCATATCACATTTTGTTTGAGCTGCATATTGGACCATGTCCGGCATCATAAAGTAGCAGCTATGTCACAATCTCAGCACGTGGGAGTGTATTGTTTTAGTGTCAAATAGACTTGCTGACCATGTTGGCTTTACGTGATCAGAAAATGTCACAGGGGGATTCAAGTCTAAATCTACTTGTAAGCTTTGTGTTTACATTTCCATGACATTTGAAATGTTTCATGCGTGAAGCTTGAAACTATAAAAGTGAGTTTTCTTCATGCCGTCCACACTTTTGGTGCTTTAGTGAGAATAAGATCCCTTCAAAAGACCACAGAGCACATTTGAAATAGTTCAATTCATTAAAATGATGACCTGATAGGGTTCATGTCTGGTCGGCTGGGTTTGGCCACTGCTTTGACAAACTTCTCAGCCATCTGGATCCTGGATACACAATGTACATTATTTAGTAAAATACAAAAACTGGTGTGAAAGGGAATTGTAATGCAATCGTAGGTCCATTTATTTATGAAGATGTTTGTGTGTATCATTCCTACCGTTGGTTGAAGTGCCGATCTCTCACATCAGTGCCATTCAGTATCAGAGCATCCATCACATGAACTGCGTTGATTCTCCGCTGGGCTTTGCCCTAAGGACCAAAGAAACTGTATTGAAACTTTTATATCTTTACAAATACAAGCAGCAAAATGCTTGCTGAGGTGTTTTTCTAACAATATGAAACTGTTCTTTTTTTCACGGGGGAAAACACTGAAAACTCAGACAAATACAACTGAACTCAAGAACCTGAAGCATGTTTTTGGAGTAAACAATTAGGAATGCAGGACACAACAGAAGTGCATAGCATCTCATGAGAATTGTTGTTATTTCAGAAAGAAATCAAGAGATTACGATACTGGCTCCCATATTTCATCTGTTCTTCGTCTCACCTCGCCCTTTAGTTCTTGGACGATCTCCACACTCAGAAGTGTATCTCTTGGCAGTTCCAGCTTGAAACTCTCCAGTTTCCTCCAGCGCACCGGCAGCTTCCCCTCCCATATGTATATCTGAGACTTCTACACAAGGCAAGGGGGAACAGGAAGAGCCGATAAAGAGATCAAAACAGGTTCATCTACAGGCTACCATGCTTTAAGAACATATTCAATCCTCTTTGCTCACTAGTAGCCCTCTGAATAAACTAATACAAACATTGGGGGTGAATAGATTAGCCTTTCAGCGCTGCATTTGAATCTTTCCCAAAATCAAAGCAAAGCCAAGTGGAAGTTGAGAGGACAGATAAAGAAATGGGACGAGGTTTAAGGACAGCATTTGATGATACTGGCCTGGATGTTGAAATACAGTACGTCACACATATAGGCTGCTATCTGATATCAAATACTTAAATTACATTTCTATATTCTTCAATATTATTAAATCTACCTAATAATAGAGGATTGAGCAGGTTGTGTGGAAAATACATAACTACAGTGCTACATTGACTCACCCCTAGCGAAAGAAGGAAGATCTGCTCTCCACCTCCCACAATGCACCTGTGGTCAAGGATGTGACGCAACTTCTCGAGTGAAGTGGAGGTGAGAGGTGTGAGCTTTG